GTACTCTTGGGGGCCTCTTTGGGGTCGTCGTGGAGGCCTCTTGGGCCATCTTGAGGTCACGTCGGTCACTCTTGGAGCGCTCTTGCGCTGTCTTGGGGGGTCTCTGGGACGCCTCCGATGACCCCCCTGATCGCCCGAGGTGTGCTGGGAAGGCTTGGCAAAACGCCCTGCGAGGCCCGGTGGCCGCTTCGAGGCCCGTCCGGAGGGTCCCAACGCCCCAGATCCTGGGAGTTCGGTTTTGGGGGCGGTGACGGGTTTTCCCCCCCGCCCGGGCTTATCAAAATATAGGAAGAGGAATACTTGATCGAACAAGAACATTTGAATGGCCCCTTATCCAGTGAACGGCCCCTCCTCCTCCTGTTCCTCCTCCTCCTCCTGTTCCTCCTCCTCCTCCTCCTCCTGTTCCTCCTCCTCCTCCTGTTCCTCCTCCTCCTCCCCCTCCTCAACCTCCTCCTCCTCCTCCTCCTTCCTCCTCCACCTCCTCCTCCCTCCTCCTCCTCCTCCTCCTCCTCCTCTCCTCCCTCCTCCTCCTTCCTTCCTCCTCCCTCTCCCATCTCCCCTCCTCCTCCTCCCCCTCCTCACCCTCCTCCTCCTCCTCCTCCTCCTCCTCCTCCTCCTCCTCCTCCTCCTCATCCTCTCCTTCCTCCTCCATCGCCTCCCTCTCCCCTCCTCCTCCTCCCCCTCCCCCCGTGCGAGGTCGGGCTGGACCACGTGCCCGCCGCCCCTTATGGCAGGGCCCCAGGCGCCGCGCCCCTCGCGCCGCCCCTCCGCCCCTCGTCGCCGCGAGGCGCCGCCGCCCTCTGGCCGTCCATCGGGGCGCGGCCGCCGTCGGCCGCCGCCGACGCTCGACGTCGACGGTCGACGCTGCATCGGCCGACGGCGACGACGATGACGGCGACGACGGCGACGACGGCGGCGACGACGGTGACGACGGCGACGACGACGACGGCGACGACGGCGGCGACGCTCGACGTCGACGGTCGACGCTGCATCTGCCGACGACGACGGCGACGACGACGGCGACGACGGCGATGACGGCGACGACGACTTCGAGGCTCTTGAGTGTTTCTGGGCCGCTTCGGGGACCTGGGGGGCCGGATTTCCATCCCGAGCGCGCTGCGACCATTGTGTTCCGAGACCGTCGCGCCACGACGGGCGTTGTCCCACGTCTCGGGCGCCCGGGGCCAGTCGTGGCCCCGTGGCCGGCCGAACAGGCACGGCAACTCAGGGCGAGGCTTGCTCGTGGCTGCGCGGCAGCGCCTCCTTCGGAGCATCACGGCGCAGCCTCCTGCGCCCAGGCCAGCCTCGCGCCAGGAGGGGGGCATTCACGAGAGAGATGCTCGCCGCCAATTGATCCGAGGGCTGCCTCGCAAAGGGCGCTCTCACAAGCGCGCCATCTATACCTGCGACCCTGTGCCTCGCAACCGTGAGCTCCCCTTAATGGGCGGAAGGCCCGCGGAAGTGGAGCGGTGGCGGATCCGCCTGCGGAAGCCAGCGGAAGTCAGAGATGCGAGCCCCCCAAGGGATGACGTTCTGTTCCCCAAATAAGCTGTCTGTACGGTCAACCCGCATGGTAAGGATGGGCAACCTTCCCAAAGGTACCCTTGCATCCTTGCCTCCTCGGTCCATCCTTGGCTACTTTCGTTGGCCGCGCCTCGCTCGGAAAGCTCCGACATGGCCTTCCAGGGCCCTTGCATCCGTCTCGTGCGTCCTTATGATACGGGTGGACTGCAGTGGTTTCGTGTGCTGCTTGCACCGCCTGGTGAAGGAGCCCGGGCGCCCGGAATCGGTGGCCCATCGTAGCCACCTCTCGTGGCCCCCGATCGTGGGCCCCCCATCGTGGGCCCCCCCATCGTGGCCGCCCCCCATCGTGGCTACGTAGAGCTGCTTGCCGTCTTCCGCTGCGAGGGTGCCATCTGGGCTCAGGCCCTACACCCTGCGCCCGGCGGCCCGGGAGGCGGTCGGTGACGGGGGAGATGTCTGCGACCCCAGACCCCCTCGCGTCGTGAGCAGAAGTCACGGCGCATCGGGAGGTCGGCGGTCATTTTCGGTAGGTTATCGGTAGGTTTCGTGTAGATGGGGTCGAGAAGGCCTTCCAAATGGGTTTCGGGTAGATCTGGTCGGACGATCGCGCCGCATCTCGGCGATGCGGCTCGATGTGGAGCCCGATTTTGTCCACGTCGACGGTGCCGATGCATCGCCCACGTCGCCGATGCATCGCCGATGTATTGGCGATGCGGCGGGATCCTTGGTCCCCAATTACTCGGAGCTCATCTAGGAGGCCTCTTTTCGCGTCGTGAGCAGACGTCACGGCGCATCGGGAGGCTGGCGGTCATTTTCGGGCGGTGTTCGGCAGGTCTCGAGCAGCCCAGGGTCCTCACCGGGCCTCGGGACTGTCGAAAGACGAGTTCGGATGAAAAGCCTCTGGGGTCCATACCACATGGGGCTCATGCCACGACAAGACCACGACGTCGGGGCTCTGGAGATGCGACGCTTCTGCACGCCAGATGGCTGCGGAGAGCTCGGAGGCGCTCGCCGCTGGGCTGCCCCTGCGAAACCCCGAGCCTGTGGCTTCCCTCCAGCAGTGCAGCGGCCACAGGGCGCCGCTTGGCTCCTCTCGCAGAGTGCCCGCGCTCTCGCAGCGCCGCGGCGGCGCCAGGCGGACCGACGCTGGGCGCTTCGCTGCGCGCTGCTGGCCGCTGGCCGATGCTGGCCGCGCGCTGGCCGCCCACTGGCCAGGCCTGCCGCGGGGCTGCTGTGCAGCCTGGCGGCGAGACGAAGCACCTGCTCGGGGTGCCTGCGGCCGGGAGACCACCTGCGGGCGGTGCAGCAGCATGATCGCAGTGGCGGCGAGAGGCGAGAGGCGAGAGGCGAGAAGGGCGGTTGCGATGAAAGGGAGCTCGCTTGCCGCGCGGACGGGGCCCAGGCGGCGGGTAACCTGATGGCCTAATTTCCCACCGCCGCTACCATGTGTAGGACGGGGGAGGAGGGAGCATGAGGAGGTCCTCCTCCTCCTCCTCCTCCTCCTCCTCTCCTACTCCTCCTCCTCCCCCTCCTCCCCCCCCTCCTCCGCCTCCCCCTCCTCCTCCCTCCTCCTTCTCCTCTCCTCCTCCCCCTCCTCCTCCTCCTCCTCCTCCTCCTCCTCTCTCCTCCTCCTCCCCCCCCTCCCCCTCCTCCCTCCTCCTCCTCCTCCTCCTCCTCCGTCTCCCTTCTCTCCCCCTTCTCCTCCTCCTCCTCCTCCTCCTCCTCCTCCTCCTCCTCCTCCTCACCCCCCTTCTACATATGGCAGTGGTGGTTGACAAAACGGGCCCATCATAGCCAGCGCCCCCGCGCCGAGCCCAGAGCCGGCCGCCTCGCCAGGCCAGGTGGCCGTGGCCCTGGGGAGGGCGAGCCCGGCGCGTTCCCCTGCGGGCTGCGAGGGGGCGGGCGCGCCTCAGAGCTCTCTGCCGAGCGTGCGTGGTGCCTTCCGCAGGCAGCGCCGCGCTGGGCGCCGCACGTCGGGAGAGCCCGCAGCACCCCGCCGAGCAGCAGCTGGGCAGCGGTCACCGGCGAGTGCGACGGGCAGCGGGCAGCGGGGCGACCACCACGCAGCAGCGGCGGCTGCGGGCAGTGGTGGGAAGCGAGGGGCGGAGGCGCAGGGCGAGGGCGTCGCACGCACGGCCACGCCTGGCGACAGCGCCTGGCGGCTTCCCGCCAGATGCCCCGCCCCCCCCCCCGCGCCCCGTTTCGCCACCCCGTGTCGTCTGCGGCGCCAGCTCCAGCCCCCGCACGTGGATCCGTGCGCGAAGTGCCCCCTCGACTCTTGCTCCTGCGACTGCATATCCATCGGGCCGATCCGATGTCGGGCGCGCATCGGTGGCGAGTGATTGTGCCGTCGGATAGGCGAAGGGCCACGCCACGCACGCGCCGTGCGCTGGGCGCATCGCGCGTCGGTTCGGGTTCTTCGTGCGAGTGCAGGGGGGGGGGGGCAGAGAGCGAGAACCCGTTGGAGGACATGGGGATGGGGGACGGGGGAGGTTGGGCACAGCGCAGGGGGCCAGGGACTATCTCGGCGATCTCCCGCAGGGGCATGCGGCAGGCCTCGCGTCCTGGAGTAAGGCTCTTGCCCGCGACACAGCCTTCAACTCCCGCAGGGCTCCCTGCCTTGTTGGGTAATAGATCCTACACGCCGCCATTTTGGATGCCACGCGTAGTTGGACCGCGGCGCATTGAGCGAACAGGCGAGAGAGGGCGCACACACAATGGAAGCACACACACACATGTTTTTGGACGGATTCTGGCCTGAGGGACATTTTTGCGAGGCTCTGAGGCCACTTACGTCTTGGTGCGGTTTTGGAGCTTCTTGGAGGCTTGCTGGAGGCAGTCTTGAAGCATCCTGGGATTCCATTGTGCTATTTTGAAGGCCATCTTGGGCTATCTAAGGCCATCTTGGAGCGAACTTGGGCCATCCTGGATGTTGTAAGTGGTCGCCCTCCCCCCCCGTCCAGATCCGTGGGAGAGGGCTGGAAGAGGTGTAAACCCATCTTAGGCCTTCTGGGTCCAAGATGTGCGCTGGCGAACTCGGCTCCCTGTCTTCTTTCAGAAGGAACTTTGGACCCATGGGGACGTGACACATTTGCTCGTGTTCGTGTGTGAGTGTATGTGTTTGTGTGCGTGTGTGCGTGAGAGAGAGAGAGTGTATGTGTGTGTGTGTGGGTGGGCGTGTGTGTGTGTGTTTGTGGGTGTGCATGTGTGTGTGTGTTTGTGGGTGTGCATGTGCATGTGTGTGTGTGTGTGTGTGTGCGTGCGTGCGTGTGTGTGTGTGTGTGTGTGTGTGTACGTTCGTGCGTGCGTGCGTGCGTGCGTGTGTTCCCGTGTATGTGTGTGTGTGTGTGTGTGTGTGCGTGCGTGCGTGCGTGCGTGTGTGTGTGTGTGTGTGTGTGTGTGTGTGTGTGTGTGTGTGTGTGCGTGTGTGTGTGTGTCTCTGTGTGTGTGTGCGCGTGTGTTTATCTGTTTGTGTGGATGCATCTGAGCGTCTCACACGTCTTGCCACCCCCCGTAGATGGGGGAAGGCGGACTTGGCAAGCTCAAGCGGACATTGTGCGGTATCGGCCAGGTGCATCTTTTTACGCCGCGTTTGTGCTTTTACAAGACATTGAGATGCTGTTGCTACTAGTCAACAGTTTGCCGAGTCGCGGCACCACTTCATCGAAACGCTTGATTGGATACGTCTCAAATGGCTGGAACTATGGGGGGATTTGCATCGGTGATTTAGGTGCTTCTTTCACGTGATGACTTTGGTCTCTCCTACTCTGGGTAGGTCGCGGCGCACGGGGGTGGTACAGTGCCTGCTGCTGAAACGCGCTTTGCTGAACCGTGGGGCCTGGCAGGCGGAGCACTGGCCTGGCGCATTTCTGTCGACACAGGAGTGCCGCGATGGATTGTGCCTTTCTCGAGTAAGTCGCACAATGTGACTCTTCTTCTGTCTCATCTTCGATGGCAAAGATACCCATGTCGACCAATTGCTCGATACTGGTGTTACCATGCAGTCCGTCCAGAAGCCTCCGGCCTTCAACATATGCTTTCTACGGAGCCTGACTCCATCAGGAGCCGTGGCACGATGAGAGGCTCAACACCAAGGCGAATGGCGTAGTGATGACGCTCCTCGTCCGAGAAATCAAGTTCACGCACGATAGAATCAGCAGCCACTTTCAGGATGGCAGGAGATTCGTGGGCCTCATCGCAGACATCGAAGACCGGCAGGGTCAACCCGATGAAAGATGAGGGCTTCAGGCTGGAGGGCTTCAGGCAGGACCCCCGTGGGTCACGGCAACCCGCAGTCTATTTCTGCAGGAACGAACGGCGCCTGGACTGCGTCCATCAGCTTCAGGGGCGCAATCCCCAGCAGGAGGTGCAGGTGAATCGGTCCGCCGGGGTATTCAAGGGGCACGCCAAGGCGCTCACCAACAGCATACCTGCTTTGCGATGTATGCTTTCTTGTCTCGTGTTGCGAACCGCACGGGAGCGAGCTGACAGGGTCAGCATCGAACATTGATATGCTGCTGTGGGAAAGCTTTCGTTCCACTCTGATGTTGCATCTAGCCTCGCCGTGCACGCAATGCACGTGCACCACTGCTCGCGGGATATGCCACAAGATCCAACGGCCCTCTAATTCGTGCAACACGGGACACCGCATATCGCTTGCACTCAGCGGTGGGATCAATACGCAATGGAGAGGGGAAAGGGGATGAGGAGGGGCAAGGATGCAAAACAGAAGAGGATGTGTATGACGGAGGGGGAGGATGATGCTGATGATGCTGATGCTGCTGCTGATGCTGCTGCTGATTATGATGTTGATGCTGCTGATGATGATGCTGCTGCTGATGATGATCATGATGATGACGATGATGCTGATGATGCTGCTGCTGATGATGATCATGATGATGATGACGATGATGATGCTGATGATGCTGCTGATGATGATGATGCTGGTGATGCTGACTATGAGGATGATGATGATGATGCTGATGATGATGATGATGATGATGATGATGATGATGCTGATGCTGCTGATGATGATGATGATGATGCTGATACTGCTGCTGCTGATGCTGCTGATGAATATGATGATGATGATG